GGGGGGTTATCTTCAGGCTGATTCATGGATCTGGTAGTGATCACCATTGGTTCAGCAAATGAAGTGTTCGAAAGTGAGAGTTTTTGTCGATTCCCACAGACGGCGCTAAACTGATGATGCACAAATTGAGTTTGCACACCACCTGTCAACTATCAATAATAAATCTAGTGATTAATCATTAAACAAAGAAGACAAGAATTATAGTGGTTCGATCAAGGTGACCTACATCCACTTTGAATAGCAAGGGTCACCGGTATTTTATTAACTCAAGTGTGCAGAGAGAGCCAAGAGTTACAAGTTGAGTGGGAGAGGAGAGAGTTGTGCTCAACAGAGCGTCATCTTCCCCATGTGTTGGTAGTGCTTACAATTTATAGTCGTCCCCTCAGCAGATTTGGGTGAGATATTAGTAAGTAGTTAGCTAATCTATTGGATTTGGCGAGCTCTTCTCAACGTGCAAGGCAGTTACGTGCTTTCTATGAGATTCGGTGAAAGGATGAGGTGGGGTGTTGACCATCTCCAAGGCGGCAAGGATAAGGCTTTGATTGACCTTGCTTGCTCCCTTAGTTCCTTGAGCTGATGAGCTTGACCGGGTTGACTACACTTGGCTAGATTTGCTGTATCTCTTGGAGTCGGACTATAAACTTGAACTGGGTTTATAACATGAGTTGGGCCCTTGGGCTTAACCCATCATTTGCCCCCCAATGCCCTGTATCAAATCGAAGCTCTTGGTGAGCCTACAAGACGCACATCTTTTAGTTGTGATTGATGCTATTGAAAGTAAAAAAAAAGGCCTAAAAATAGATGTTTTGGCCTCTCGAAATTTTTTCAGTTACGCCAGTCAGCCAAAAATTCAAACTTAATCGAATGCCCTTCTTTTCAAGATATATAATAAGCCCCTGTTTGGAGCTACAAAGCAAAATTTATGGTCAAAATTTCGAGGAGGGAGTTAGGTGAGCGATTTGGGCGAGCAGGCACTGATCTGAGTGAGCAGGGAGTATCTTGGGTGAGCAAGGAGTTGATTTTTTGTAAACTTTAAAAGGCCAAAACATCTGTTTCTTGGCTTTTTTTGGACTTTTTACAGCGTCAATTTATAGCCTAAGGTTGCATGTCTTGTAAGGCTCGCCGAGAGCTTCAATTTGATATATTATGGGCCCCCATTTGTAGTAAATGGGCAAAAATTACGGTCAAAATTTTGAGCAGGCAGCTAAGTGCCCGTTTTGGGTGAGCAAGCAGTGTTCTGGGAAAGTCTGGGGCTGCCTTGGGTGACCCAGGGATGCCTTGGGCGCTTTGGGCAAGCTTGGAGTTGCATTGGGTGCCTTGGGCGAGCTTGGGGCTGCCTTGTGCGAGTTTGGTTCTGAAGTCAAAAGGCAGAGTACGCCAAAAACTTTTGGTGGTGATGATCCGACTCCTACGAGTATAACTTCTCAAAATCAAATTCCTCAAGACCTTTATAGCAGTATCTTGGACAAAGTTTCACGTCATCGTGCCAAAAAGCATTGAGGGAAGGTAGCTTTCGATGATGATGGGTGTAAAGTAAGTACTATCTCTAGCAATTTAAATACAGACACCGATATTTTACGGATTGTCTCTGTNAAATTCATTGAATTTATGTAAATCCTTCACTCATTAATAATAAATATATAATCTATAATAAAAAATATGGCAGACTTCAATAAGTCTATCCAATATTTTCAAAAAAATTCATCCAACGATTACTAACATCTCTTTAAAAAATCTATAATTAAAGTAATTTTTTTTTCAAATTAACCGATTAGTTTACGTTGCATCGTGCCTTCAGGCACGATTGTCCCTAATGATTTGTTAAGAAGAAAAATATTGGGAAAAAAGTGTTAGAGGGATCTAGATCCAATTTTATTGAGGCCAGATGAATAATGTATTTGTTTTGAAGTCCGTTTGATTAGGAAAAAAATAATGCTAGAAAGTAAAAATAATAAAAAGTGAAGTGAAAGAAAGAAAAAAGAAAAGAAAATATATTTCCTTTCATGTATTTAGTTAGCATTGATAATGTACAAATTGGGTTTGCACACCACATGTCAAGTATCAATAATAAATGCAATGATTAGTCAGTAAAGAAAGAAGACAAGAATTATAGTGGTACGGTTAATGTGACTTACGTCCACTTTGAATAGCAAGTTTGCCGGTATTTTATTAACTCAAGTGTGCAGAGAGAGCCAAGAGTTACAAGTTGAGTGGGAGAGGAGAGAGTCGTGCTCAACAGAGCGTCATCTTCCCCATGTGTTGGTAGTGCTTACAATTTATAGTCGTCCCCTCAGCAGATTTGGGTGAGATATTAGTAAGTAGTTAGCTAATCTATTGGATTTGGCGAGCTCTTCTCAACGTGCAAGGCAGTTACGTGCTTTCTATGAGATTCGGTGAAAGGATGAGGTGGGGTGTTGACCATCTCCAAGGCGGCAAGGATAAGGCTTTGATTGACCTTGCTTGCTCCCTTAGTTCCTTGAGCTGATGAGCTTGACCGGGTTGACTACACTTGGCTAGATTTGCTGTATCTCTTGGAGTCGGACTATAAACTTGAACTGGGTTTATAACATGAGTTGGGCCCTTGGGCTTAACCCATCATTTGCCCCCCAATGCCCTGTATCAAATCGAAGCTCTTGGTGAGCCTACAAGACGCACATCTTTTAGTTGTGATTGATGCTATTGAAAGTAAAAAAAAAGGCCTAAAAATAGATGTTTTGGCCTCTCGAAATTTTTTCAGTTACGCCAGTCAGCCAAAAATTCAAACTTAATCGAATGCCCTTCTTTTCAAGATATATAATAAGCCCCTGTTTGGAGCTACAAAGCAAAATTTATGGTCAAAATTTCGAGGAGGGAGTTAGGTGAGCGATTTGGGCGAGCAGGCACTGATCTGAGTGAGCAGGGAGTATCTTGGGTGAGCAAGGAGTTGATTTTTTGTAAACTTT